CGGGTTATGTTGGGATGGTCATCTACTGTGCGATGGATCTTGAGCTAGAATATGGGTCATACAAAACGAACAACATATAAGACTATAGTTTCACAGACTCTGATGCAATTCTCACTATGCACAATTACAAACCTCCTTTACGAAGCATTTAAAAAACTCGTCTTCGTCCCAATATTTGAACATCTTGTAAGCAACAGTGATGCCCGATGTTGCTACTGTTGCTTTGAAAACTACACCAAATGCACCGTGGCCTATGCAGTCTTTATCAATTAAGCCATTATAAGGATAAAATCGAATATGTTCACTTTCAATACTCTTTTCTAGCCATTCTTTGTCAGCGGAAATTGATGTCATCGTTATTACTGTTGACCTGAAGTTCTGCAACATATTATATCATCGGTGATTGTAACACACACACACTAATTGATGCAGTAATACTGTAATACGACTTTTACTCAATACGGAAATCGATTTTAGAATAATCTGCAGGAAAATTTTTTTGAATGTGATTGGCTCTCGCAAATTTTTACGTCTTTTACGTATTAGTATGCATTCTTTGTGGATTTTCACCGTATTAGAGACCATACAAACACACATAAAAGACGTCTAGTTGTAATTCCTCGCGACGCAATATTCATATATTATTTGTTACTTATAAACAAAGAAGTGAAGGAAACCTCAACGAAACTCATTTTTTCATGGTAAAGTTACTGCCAGCATTGTTCATGTGTCTTATTTTAATATCAATGCTACTTTGTCAAGGTATCAGTAAATGCATATGTTGATGTTTTTAAATAATTTTTTGATATACAGATTTAACAGAAGAATAATCAGCTAATTTTTGCGTTGTTTAGCAATGTAGTACTATTTGCTGCATGCTCCTGTTCATGCGTGCGTTATTGTTAATATATTACCGCGTTAGACTGGATTTAAAGGTAATAAGTATTTTCTTGACAATACCTTATGACAACGACTACTAAACATATTGAAGAACTAAAACCTTGGCCTTAGGAAATGTTGTAATCGTATATTATGCAGTTTTGCCACCTGCTTACATGTTAAAACAACAAAAATAGAAGCAAATGTTCAAGCTGTTTATTCCTTTTCACAAACTTAATAAATTCCGTATCGCCTCAGAGTCGACGGAAACAGAACCGTCAGAAAGAGATAGAATTGTTATATAAAATTGTTTGAAAATTTACTTTCTTCACCGTGGCTTTTTTTATCAGTTCTCGGCCGCCTTTTGAGCTGTGTGACTTATCTTCAACAGGTTTAACCGGCATAAGTTTCGTTCAATAATGCGTCATTCAATTCATATATTGCATGAGTTGAGAAGCAGCATTGTTGACTCTGCATAAAATGTTGTTGGTAGTGGTACGCTTTTTACTTACCGAGAAGCGGCAACGCCATATGATGATGTAATGAGTGGTTTCTGCTATATATGTGGGCTTCCGGTGACAGATACGATGGCGGTAATATTCGTAAAATTATTGCATTAGGGAATTGGACGAGTTTATGTAAAGCGTGCTTTTTTTTGGTACGAAAACATGAACGTCTAAAAATTAGTTATCTCACCATCTACAGCAATTATACTGCGACATTCGTGAGTGTGTTATCTTGTAAACAACAATTGTTCAAGAACGGTTTCCATAGCCTATTCTTCGCCAAATTGTAAGCGCACGACACACAATTCAAATTAAGCCCACTCCTTCATTTCTCAATTAATAAATAGCTTTAACCAACAAACTGTTCGCATTGATAGTAAATTTATCAGTTTATCAAGAAAAACACCAATGAAAAAAATAAATAAAGTATGAAATAGAAATTAATTACAGTTTTATTATCAACTCAAATACTAGCTCAAAGTTATAAATAAAAGACAGCTGCGATTATTTCCATCTTAAAGCTTTTTTGCTATCTATTATCCAGCACCCCATTATTACTGATTACTGATTACAGGTCTGGTTTATTTGCCCGACAAATATTCACCAACATTATTTCGAAATTATCCTTTTTTGGTAGTTAATTTCCGGGAAATAAACTGTCAGGGAGTGATTGTCGGGGAAATGAACCAGACCCAATATAAATTTCTGGTTACGTATAAATAAATTAAATTATTCTCTGTTACAAACTAATGTAACATAATGCCAGTTATAGTGATTTCTATTCACAAAATGCCAGCATTGGGGGGGTGATATGATGGGGTATGAAGGTAACATTATCTTGTGAGCGATAACTTTGCTGTTTTATCATGTGCTATTGTTATCATTTGTATAAACGCACATGGCAATTTGTTTCTGTTTTCCGAATTAAATACCAACAACGCAATTAGTTCTAAAAAGACTGTATTTTTCTTTTTGTTTTCCTCTGTTTTTTAATCCCCTCTTTTATGCCTTTTTTAGGAAGTGTTTAATTGTTTTTTATAATCTAAACTTCTTTTTACCTATAAATTATCACATTTAATGTTTTTAAATGGTTTTCCGCCTATTGTGGTTAGTTGAAAAAAGACCAAGGCGAGAAGACCCATAGACTAAGTTCTCGCCTTGCGGAAGAACTATATTAATATAAACCAGATGAAGATGATAGTACTAAGGACGATGAATTAGATTTAGTATCTGATTTGAGAGAGAGACAGAGGAGAGAAACGCAAGAGCTACAAGCTAAACAACGCGTTGTAACAATAAAAGCTTTCGTGAATTAAGGACATCACAAGCTTTGCTTGCTTTCACAATCGCATTAAGTTGATTTTCTTTGTTAGCATATATTATGCTATTGACGCACTCTTGCACTACTTGTTCTCGATGCAATCACAGTCACCATAACCAGTGATTGCGTAAATGCAATCGTAATGACAAGGATGACAATGTTTCTATAAATTTACCATTGTCACAAATATCAAAGAAATCGAGAGCCTATGGGCAATTAAACCGTTAATTCGTTGCATATTAAACAATTGGATGAAAACTTTGTCCTAGTTGTTTTTAATACAGTTTTAAACAAATAAACAATTATGTATTTTTGGTTACAATTTTGGAATAATGTACTAAAACTAGTACAGTTTTTTTCGTTAAGATAATTATAGTCAATAATTCAGACACTTTTATCCGACACTTTTTTATGGTTGTACAGCATATTCTGAATATGGGTTGATCTTCATCAATTTAACCAGGACAAATTCCGGACTCAATAATAAGAAGAGCATTACTGACATTCTAATTAAAGCTATAAAGTAGATAGTAAAGGTTTTCTAAGCCATGTAATAGTTGGTCTGTACAAGCTCCAAGGAAAAACTTTCACCATAAGCGTTATTCAAACATTAAGTAATATGTGCATTAATTAGTTAGAGAAAAATATCTTGATAATAATAAGAGTAGCGGCGACGGTATTGTAGTATGATTCACTATAATAAACATCATACGACTGCTAACAGACAACGTAAACATTGTTTAATGTCATACCAAGGAATGGTCTGATTCACTTACAACGATAGAAATATTAATAAACGATGCGAACACTGTTTACTGTCATACCAAGGAATGGCCTGATCTACTTAACAACGACAGAAACACAGAACTGATATTCAGCTGTTAAATTAATTCCAATGAAACATTACTATTAGCAGATCGAATGGTCACTTTCAGCGAACAAGCTCTAACACTGATTATCCGATTTATTTACCAAGATAGAAACAATCTCTAATACAAATAATAACATTTACCAGTAACTGAAATAATACGAATGATTTTGGCTACAAGCTCAAAATAGTGTAGTTTAGGCAAAAGTGGGTTCTTGTTTAAACGAAAGACGTCCGGAATTTGTGTTGGTTATATTGATGAAGATCGGACCATATTCAGAATATGCTGTACGACCATAAAAGTGTCGAATAAAAGTGTCCGAATTATTGACTATAATGTTAAGATATAATGTTTAGTGAACCACATAGACTTTTGAGTCACATAATATAAATAGTTTCTAGCAAGCAAATTCGATAAAAAGATCGCATTGACACAGAGGTGTTTTCAAAAAACTGAGTTATTTATGACACTATCTAATATAACATATTCAATTTGTATCTACTTTACAAACACTGATCTCTGCTTGTCCAGAGATATTGACACCATATATTGTTTAAATTATTGATATAACAATAGATCTATCTACAGAGATTATTATTAGTGTTTCATTATGATGTATGGAACAATATTTATTGGACAACTTTAAACAAAAAATAGCCACATAATAATATATAATAAGGCATATGCATTATAGTGACATTGAAGAAATTAACTGGTGGTTATGGAAGAAAATATAAAGGTAAACCAGAAAAGCATATACCATACAAGAACTTCTCAAATGGTTTAACAATTCTAATCAAACACCAGAATTATTACTAAGCAGGCTAAGGTTATATTGTGCTACATCATATCCTTGTTCAACTGCTTTCTGATACAGCTCAATTGCTTTCTGAATATTCTTTTCCACACCTGTCCCATTCCTATAACAATCACCAAGACTATTCTGTGCCTTGGCATATCCTTGTTCAGCAGCTTTTTGATACAGCTCAACTGCTTTCTGAATATTCTTTTCCACTCCTGTCCCATTGTTATAACAAACACCAAGATTATATTGTGCTACATAATATCCTTGTTTAGCTGCTTTCTGATATAGCTCAACAACTTTTTGAATATTCTTTTCCACTCCTACCCCATACCAATAGCAATTAGCAAGACTATTCTGTGCCCTTGCATATCCTTGTTTTGCTGCTTTTTGATACAGCTCAACTGCTTTTTGAATATTCCTTTCCACTCCTGTCCCATAGTTATAGCAAACACCTAGATCACATTGTGCTATGGCATATCCTTGTTCAGCTGCTTTTTGATACAGCTCAACTGCTTTCTGAATATTCTTTTCCACTCCTGTCCCATTCCTATAGCAATTACCAAGACTATATTGTGCTATGGCATATCCTTGCTCAGCTGATTTTTGATATAGTTGAACTGCTTTGTGGATATTTTTTTCTACTGTTGTCCCATACCAATAGCAATTAGCAAGACTATTCTGTGCTCTGGAATATCCTTGTTCAGCTGCTTTCTGATATAATTGAACTGCTTTTTGAATATTCATTTCTACTCCTGTCCCATTGTTATAGCAAACACCAAGATTATATTGTGCTACATCATATCCTTGTTTAGCTGCTTTTTGATACAACTTAACTGCTTTTTGAATATTTTTTTCCACTCCTGTCCCATGCTCATAGCAAACACCAAGCTTATTTTGTGCCCTGGCATATCCTTGGTTAGCTGCTTTCTGATACAGCCCAACTGCTTTTTGAATATTCTTTTCCACTCCTGTCCCATACTCATAGCAAACACCAAGATTATTCTGTGCCCTGGCATATCCTTGATTGGCTGCTTTCTGATACATTTCAACTGCTTTTTGAATATTCTTTTCTATTCCTGTCCCATTCTCAAAGCAAACACCAATATAACATTGTGCTATGGCATATCCCTGTTCAGCTGCTTTATGATACAACTCAACTGCTTTCTGGATGTTCTTTTTCACACCTGTCCCATTCCTATAACAATCACCAAGACTATTCTGTGCCCTGGCATATCCTTGGTCAGCTGCTTTCTGATACAGCTCAACTACTTTCTGAATATTCTTTTCCACTCCTGTCCCACTACTATAGCAAACACCAAGATTATATTGTGCTACATCATATCCTTGTTCAGCTGCTCTCCGATACAACTCAATTGCTTTCTGAATATTCTTTTCCACACCTGTCCCATTCTCACAACAAACAGCAAGATTACATTGTGCTATGGCATATCCTTGTTCAGCTGCTTTTTGATACAACTCAACTGCTTTTTGAATATTCTTTTCCACTCCTGTCCCATTCTCATAGCAAATACCAAGACTATTCTGTGCCCTAACATATCCTTGTTCAGCTGCTTTCTGATATAGCTCAATGGCTTTTTGAATATTCTTTTCTATTCCTGTCCCATTGTTATAGCAAACACCAAGATTATATTGTGCTACATCATATCCTTGTTCAACTGCTTTCTGATATAATTGAACTGCCTTTTGAATATTTCTCTCCACTACAGTCCCATTGTTATAGCAAACACCAAGATTACATTGTGCTATGGCATATCCTTGCTCAGCTGCTTTCTGATATAATTGAACTGCTTTCTGAATATTTTTTTCCACTCTTATCCCATACCAATAACAATTACCAAGACTATTCTGTGCCTTGGCATATCCTTGTTCAGCTGCTTTCTGATACAGCTCAACTGCTTTCTGAATATTCTTTTCCACTCCTGCCCCATTGTTATAGCAAACACCAAGATTATATTGTGCTACATCATATCCTTGTTCAGCTGCTTTCTGATATAATTGAACTGCTTTTTGAATATTCCTTCCTACTCCTGTCCCATTGTTATAGCAAACACCAAGATTGCATTGTGCTATGGCATATCCTTGTTCAGCAGCTTTTTGATATAGCTCTACTGCTTTTTGAATATTCTTTTCCACTCCTGTTCCTTTCCTATAACAATTACCAAAATTGTTCTGTGCCCTGGCATATCTTTGCTCAGCTGCTTTCTGATATAATTGAATTGCTTTGTGTACATTTTTTTCCATCCCTGTCCCATTATCATAACAAAGACCAAGACTACATTGTGCTGCAGCATTTCCTGCCTTTGCTGATTGTTGATACCATTGAATAGCTTGTCCAAGATCTGTTTCTATTTCAATTCCATGTGCATAGAAAAACCCAATCAGCAAAAAACATTGTCCACAATCAGTATGAGCTTTTAATGTTGCTAATGAATGTTTTTTTTTATCTATATCATTATTTTCTATTAGCCAATTTTTGATATAATCAGCTATCTGTTTGATAGATTTCCCTTTAAACTGTAATTTGTTGTATAACATGAATAACTCATTAGAAAAAGTGTGATCTATAATCTTCTCTTCATCTTGGTTAATATCACATTCTGGTAACTGGTTCAGGTTTTCCATTATATTCTTTAATCTATGATAGCAGTCTTCACTAGTTGGTCGTTTTTCTGGATCACTGTCCCAGCATTCAGTATATAAACTTTTATACCCCTTTGGTGTGCCTGGAACTACATCATGTCGACCATCTTTCAGTCTATAAAGCCGAATGTCAAAGTCAGTATTGAGTTCTCTGCATGGATATTCTCTGCTAGATATTTCCCATAGAACAATCCCAAGGCTAAAGATATCAGATTTCTCATCTCGTTTACTATCATTGTCATCAAAGCATTTAGGATCAAGGTATGCATAAGTTCCTCGGTGATCTGAGCGAGTCTTTCGCAGTAATAATTTTTCAGATGTTCCAAAATCCGTGATCTTAGCCGTTTTCCCATAAATTAATACATTGTTCGAAGACTTTGATAAACATTGAGAAGTAATCTGTCAATATACAATCGACGTTAAAGGAGATCGTATTAATAAGAAATACACTTACTAAATCTTTATGCAAGATTCCTACTCTATGAATATATCTCAATCCGTTAATAATATCCAACCCGAGTTGACAGTTTGCAGACCAATCCAGTTTGATACCTGGCGTCGATAAGTATTTTCTTAATGAACCATTGTCGGCATAATCGAAGACCATCAAGTATCTTCCTCTGATATCTATTGAAAGGTCGAAAAAGTATTATTATTATA